ACGCCCCGGGCCCCGCCGCTGGTATGGGCGCGCTGGCCCGGGCGCTGCTGCTGCCGCTACTGGCCCAGTGGCTCCTGCGGGCGGCTCCAGCACTGGCCCCGGCGCCCTTCACGTTGCCCCTGCGGGTGGCCGTAGCCGTGTCCCGCGGGGCTTCGCCTACCCTCGGGGCGAGGGCAGCCTCCGTGCCCCCCGCCGCACCCCCTGAGGACAGTCTGGCGCTCGCCCTGGAGCCCGCCGGGGGCGCCGCCAACTTCTTAGCCATGGTGGACAACCTGCAGGGGGACTCCGGCCGCGGCTACTACCTGGAGATGCTAATTGGGACCCCCCCGCAGAAGGTAGGTCGCTGAGCGCTCGCCCGCGCGGCTGGTTCCAGACCGGCACCGCGCCGTCCCTGCCGTGGCCCGGCAGCAGCCGCGGGCTGTTTAGGGGCTCTTGAGGTGACCGGCGATGCGTTCGCGCGCTTAGCGAGGCTCCGCAAAGCAACCAACCCCGGTCCCCTGGAGAACACAGCGGAATGCAAAGGGGCTCCGGGGAGCCGGGCGAGGGGGGCGCTTGCACTTGGGAACAAGGACCGGTGTCAACCCCTGCCCGAGGCATAGCCGAGAGGTGCGTGCAAGTGTTGAAGAACTTGTGAGCGCCCCTCTCCCATCCCCCTCCGCGAGGCTGGACCGCGGGAGAGACCGGTAACTTGCCCCTAACACGATTTCCTCTTGGCGAGCGACACCTCCTTCCAGGGAGGAGAAGGTGCCCGGCCCTCGGGGGAGATGCTGTTATTACTGGGGAAAATCACCTTGTATTGATATCGTACCCCCCCCCCATGCTGTCTCATTGCTAAAGAGGCTTGTGGCCAGCATCCAAAGGCGCAGTACCCTGTAAGAGGGGGATTTTCTCTCGATCTCAGCTGAAAGCAGCACTGTTCCGAAGTGGCTGGCCTCCGGGTCGCCACCGAGGTGAGCAACGTTACCTCCGCGCCCCTTTGCTTTCTCGGACTTGGTTTGTCAGCTTCCTTTTCGCTCGTGCAGCTGCCCAGCCCCTCCCTCTGCGCGGAGCGCTGCGTCTACACACGTGTGCGGCGGAAATATTAAATGCCGTAAAGCTACTAGAAAAAAATATGGGCTGAGCTAGGCTGCAACGGACCCAGTGACAAGGGACCAAGTCCAAATGACAAGCTGATACTGAATATTCATTCTAAATAAATTCAAACAGCTTCCTTTTGCTCTTACTTAGATTTGCATGCATTGGCACTTTTTGTAGCAAGAAACAAATGTTCCCAGGCACAGTAATCTTAAAAAAAAAAAAAAAAATTCCAGGAGTTGTTCTTGCCCGCTCATCCTTTCAAACTACCTGGTGTAAATGTGGAAACCCCGGTGGCATAGTGGTTAAGAGTTTGGCTGCTAACCTGAAGGTAAGCAGTTTGAATCCACCAGGCACGCCTTGGAAACCCTATGGGGTAGTTCCTCTCTGTCCTATAGGGTCACTATGAGTTGGAATTGACCTGGTGATGGGCTTAGTATAAGTGTGATTTGAAGTTAAGTTTTCTTATCAATTGAATATACTTTATGTTTAACATTGTCATTTGGGTTTTAATTCAGCTATGATCCCCCCATAAATAGAACACTCATTACTTTTGTATAATTCTAATTAAATTATTCAAGGCCTTCTTAAGAGGAAAGACATGCCATGCTAATTCTTAAAAAAAGAAAAGAAACTCTACAAATAACTTCTACAGTGGCTTAATTAGTTTCCTTAAAAAAAAAAAATCAACTTCAAAAGTGTATTCTGCTCAAAGCTTTGATTTTAGTTGCCTTTCATTGAAGTCATGGGAATACATGTGACCGAACTTGGCCATCTTCAAGGGTGGGGGGTGGCTGGAGGGCAGAGAGGGGAATGAATGGGAATGACTGGTCAGCTGAGGAAGCTTAACTTGACCAGAAGCTGGTCAAGTAACCAGGTCCTGCTGAAAGCCACCAGGTGAAAACATGTGCAATAGGTAGGAATCTTGTGACGCTTACACTTCAAAAGATAGTGAGCATGAACCTCTTTTGGGGTCCACTGATAATCTTCTGGGACAGGCCCCAATGACTCCCCATTTGGGAAATGTGTGTCTTGACAAAGAGCTCTGGTTGCGTAGTGGTTAAGCACTCAGCTGCTAACGAAAGGTCAGCGATTCAAACCCACCGCGTAAAGCTGTGGCAGTTGGCTTGTGTAAAGATTCCAGCCTTGGAAACCCTATGGGGCAGTTCTCCTCTGTCCTATAGGGTCGCTATGAGTCAGAATCAACCAGATGGCATGGGTTTGGGTTTTTTTTTGGGGGGGGGGTGCTGTTATAAAAAGAGCCCTTTGCCCCTGTCTCCAGAGGAAAATGGAAGGGAAAAGAACACCCTCAGGAAAGACTAAAAAATACTTCATTTGGGCACCCGAGAAAAGTCTTTATAAATAATGCTTTGCCTTTATTAAACAAGCCAATGACCTTTATTTTTAAAACGATGAGATTTAATTAACAGGACTGTACTGAGCACCTGGGGGTATGTCTTTACTTTGGCTAAGAAAGTGGTTCTTTCAAGGTTATTTCTCCGTTCAACATCGCCATGTTTCCAGGAAGGACAGTGTTTGCAATCCAGACTTAATTTTTGCAGTTTGCATTTGATGGGGAGTGAAATATTCTGTACCTGCTTCTGGGTTTGATTTAGTGATAAGCTGCTTTATAGCAAAATCCATGTGTACCATCTTTTCAAATGTCTCATGTAAACTCACGGGCGTTCGCTCCTAGTGCATTAGGATGCGTGTCTTGGCTGTCTTCCCTGAAAGATCCCTGACTGCTAGCAGGGCTTCTCAGCAGGCTGGAGAGGGCAGCAGCCTTGTGACTTCAGAACCTAGAGTGAGTGTTCCTGCTCTGTAATGCCCAAGGATCATGCATTTATTCTCTGCTGATGCTCTGAAGCCTAAAATAAAATTGCTTAGGTGGAAAGAAAAATGGAATTGTAAATTCAAGCAATCAATAACCTAGAAATTTTCAAGAAATAAATAAGAGTAATAGATGGGAGCCCTGGTGGTGCAGTGGTTAAGGTTTCAACCCACCAGCCGCTTCATGGGAGAAAAAACCTGGTGATCTGCTTCTGTAAAGGTTGCAGCTTAGATTATTCACAGTAGCAAAAAGATGGAAATGACCTCAGTGCCCATTAACAAATGCATGGATAAATAAACTAGGGTACATACACACAATGGAATACTACTCAGTGATAAAGAACAATGATCAATCTGTGAAACATCTCACAATGTGCATGAATCGGGAGGGCATTATGCTGAGTGAAATAAGTCAATCATAACAGGACAAATACTTTATGAGACCACTATTATAAAAACTCAAGAAAATGTTTACACACAGAAACAATCCTTGATGGTTACAAGGGAGGGGAGGCCTGGGGAGGGAGAAACACTAACTAGACAATGGATAAGTTGTTAACTTTGGTGAAGGGTGAGTACTGGGGAAGTCAGCACAACTTGACCAAGGCAAGGTCATGGAAGCTTCATAGATACTTCCAAACTCCCTTAGGGACCGAGTTACTGGGCTAAGGGCTGGGGAGCGTGGTCTTGGGGGAAATCTAGCTCAACTGACATAACGTAGTTTATAAAGAAATACTAAATCCTACTTTGGTGAGTAACGTCTGGGGTCTTAAAAGCTCGTGAGCGGCCATCTAAGATACTCCACTGGTCTCACCCCGTCTGGAGCAAGGGAGAATGAGGAAAACCAAAGACATAAGGGAAAGATTAGTCCAAAGGACTAACAGACCACAAGTACTAGAGCCACCAGATTGAGTCCAGCACAACTAGATGGTACCCGGCTACCACCACCACTGCTCTGACAGAGATCACAAAAGAGGGTCCCAGACAGAGTTGGACAAAAATGTAGAACAAAGTTCTAACTCACAAAAAACGATCAGACTTACTGGTCTGACAGAGACTGGAGAAACCCCGGGAGTATGGCCCCCAGACACCCTTTTAACTCAGTATTGAAGTCACTCCTGAGGTTCACCCTTCAGCCAAAGGTTAGACAGGCCTATAAAACAATAACACATATAGTTCAACCATGTATGCAAGACTAAATGGGCACACCAGGCCATGGGCAAGGACAAGAAGGCAGGAGGGGACAGGAAAGCTGGACGGAAATGGGGGACCCAAGGTCGAGTAGGGGAGAGTGTTGACATGTCATGGGGTTGGCAACCAATGTCACAAAACAATCTGTGTATTAATTGTTTAATGAGAAGCTAATGTGCTCTGTAAACCTTCACCTAAAGCACAATGAAAAAACAAAATAAAGGGCAGCTTTCAAAAAAAAAAAAAAGATCACAGTGTAGGAAACCATATGGGGCAGTTCTACTCTGCCCTATAGGGTCGCTATGAGTTAGAATTGACTCAGTGGCACACAACAACAATAGTCGATGAGGCCTTGGTGGTTCAGTGGTAGAATTCTCACCTTCCATGCGGGAGACCTGGGTTCGATTCCGGCCAGTGCACCTCTTGGCGTGTTGCTGTGATGCTGCACAGGTTTCAGTGGGGCTTGCATACTAAGATGGAATAGGAAGAAAGGCCTCGTGATGTACTTCCAAAAATCAGCCAGTGAATACTCTATGGATCACAATGGTCTGATCCACAACCCATCCTGGTGATGGCCCAGGGCAGGGCAGTGCTTCATTCCATTGTGCAGGGGGGTCACCATGAGTTGGGGCCGATATCAAGGCAGCTAACAATAACAATAGATAGTCTGAGGGTTCCCCACATAGCAAGCGCTATTCTGTATGCTCTATACGTGCTCGCTCCCGGAAACCCCACACCACCATCTGGTTCTTATTCCCATTTGGTGGATCAGGAAACTGAGACTTGCAGTGTTTGAATGACTTGCCAAGGGCAACAGAGAAAGAAAGAGGGAGACCCGGAAATCGAACGCAAGCACTGACCACCAGAGCCCAAGGTCTGAACCACTGTGCCAACTCCTGGTTTCTGTTCTTTGTGTTTTGGCCTCAAGCTCTCCTTTCTAGCCAGAGACCCCTGAACCTCACATGCCAAGGTGTTAGGGACTTCATGTGTTAGCACAACTGGACGGTCCCTCCACTCACTACCCAAACAAACAAGCAAACTCATTGCGGTCGAGTGGATTCCGACTCATGGCAACTCCATGTGTTATACAGTAGACCTGTGCTCCGTAGGGTTTTCTTGGCTGCAGTCTTTATGGAAGCAGATCTCCAGGCCTTTCTTTCATGGCACTGCTGGGTGTGTTCGAACCACCTTTAGGTTAATAGTCGAGCGCAAACTGTTTGCGCCACCCAGGGACCTCCGCTTCCTACAGTTCCCCCATCTCTTCCCCTTCGTCCAGGGCAGTGCTTTCACGCAACTTAATGAACAGTGGGCTCGAGGAATTCAATGGGGGAGAAACTGAGAGAGGAGACTTAGGGACCAAAGCCCCCCAGATCATGGCTCTCCTGCGGGAAAGCTAACTGTTGCAAATGTGCTTGTTCCCTGAATGCTGTAATCAAGGAACGGGGGCCCATTATGCTGCCTGGTGGCTCTGCAAGGAGTCACAGGCATCTGCCCAGCAGCCCGTGTGATAT